GGGGGGTTGGACTAGATGACCCACAGAGGTCCCTTCCAACCCCTACTATTCTGTGATTCTGAAGTCATCCATCTAAGGCTCAGTAACCCAATGGTTACAAGAAGCAGCACTGGACGTCCTTTCAGCCAGCATCAGGCAGAAGTAAAGGAACTACGGCTCATTACTTAATTTTCTACGACCAGGGAGTTCATGTTTCCCCCCTCAGTGTTTTTATTGGATAAAACTGTATTGTATGATAACACAAGGCTCTCCACAGTGTCTGAAATACCTACTCAGGCCCAGCAAGGAAGCTGCGATGTTTATATTGCATTTTACATTCTTTTTCAATTGCACTTGTATTTAATAACAACTAGAACAAAAATTTACACTCTGTAGCCAATATTTATATTTTCCATTTGGCAGTTCTGATAATTTTTCATACTGAGTAGAGATAAAACTGACTTGGCAGACTGTATTTATCAACATGCCATCTGCTAAACTATTTCAGCTAGAAAGCCAACTGTATTTTCAATAGTGCCAAGAAGCATGCTTCTAAGTGTATTATGAGAGAAACTCCCAAAGAACACAAAATCAAAATAAGAGGTAAGACAATATAAGGGGGGTGACACCCCAACAGTTCAACATTACAGACAAAAATGTAATGATACAATTCTGAAGACAAAACAGCAGAAAAAATTTTAATACCAAAATATGTGATCACATGCATGCATAGTGGAATCTTTGGATAGCTTTGATGTGCATTATATTTATTTATAGTAGATGTAATAATTCCTTGTTTATTAACAAAAACTTGTAATCATATCCTATTTTAATACTGAATCCTTCAACCTTCTTTCTTAATCTGTCAAACCTTGGGCATTTAAGCTAGTCTCCACTGGTTATAAGAGATTTCTGATGCTTTATCAAGGAAAAACTCAGAACAACATAGTAAAAGTAAAATTTACTACCATTATTTAAAGATGCAATTACTTCATTGTTGATCCTCTCAGCAGAATCACCTCAACACTCTTCCTCCTTTCACTTCAGAGCTTTCTCCCTCTTGAACCTGATCCCTCCTCCACAAAAAACCCTCTCATTGCTAAGCTACAGTCCTCAGGTCATCACAAATAATGATCACAACCAAAGTTAACAAATCCAATGAAAGTGTGCATTAGTTGACCACCAAGGGTATCGCAGTCCTACAGTGCCTACTTAAGACAAAAGGACTGAGCACTGCAGTGTTACAAATAAAATAAGAAAAAGATAGGGGTAGAAAACGAAATTTCACGTATCCTACATCTCAATCTCTTCCTGTAGATGTGATTATAAAGGATAAAACAGGATGGGAACACAGACATGAAGTACAGTATATCACTTACCATTTCCTGAGATGCATACTTTGGATCTTCAGGATCAACTGACCAGTAGCAGTAGTCAAAGCTGAAGGCCACAGTCTTTTCTCTTGAGTCCCAGGTGCCATCGAGCCTACTGTCAACCTGACAACAGAAGGAAAAAGACAGAAAGACCAATTCACTTTGAAGCTGCCCAAAAAGCAAGCACTTTAAAACTAACAGGAAGTTTATCTAGGATCCATATTGTGGAAAATGAATGGCAAATATTTTATCCTCATTATTCAATTTTCTTTGATGCTCAGAGTGGGGTGGAGACATCCATGACAGACCTACTGAAGCATTTTTGCTAAAGGGTTCGTTTACTACAGCTAAGGTTCTCCAGGCTGTCCACAATAAACATTATTTAATCTTCACAACATCTACATATAGACATCAAAGCTCTATATCTCTTTTGATGCTTCTCTGTCACTCTTCTGTTTCACTGGGAACCATGTCACAGAAATGAGGCCCCAAGTGAGAAAACAAAACCAATTTTCTCACTGCACAGTTGAAAATGCAGGTCTCTTCCTCCATTTCCCCTGTGCATTGTCATGGCGGCAAGCTAATGCTTCTCTCATTGGGACTGCACACTACAAACCATAAGGTTATTACAGGTTAGCAATAATGACAGGGAAGCCTTTCTAGCATAATAGTCAGAAATGGTGGCTGGAATTAAGGGAATTGTATAAGTCTTTCTGCATAATGTTGTCCAAGTGATTTGTAATAAAACAGATAAGCTTATTAATGAGGAACTATATGTTGTTGTTCTACTCTTCAAAGAGGGAGAGTAATGAGTCTAAATGTTACACAAAACTAACTCTACCCATATGTAATTTTGACCTAATTGGCAACTTTATCATGACCTCGACATTTGCAATAACATAAGCAGAAAAAAAGGTTCATTATAATTTGGTACCTAAACAAATCGCTTCACTAATGGCCCCAAAAGTGAGGGGTGACAGCACTGTCCGCCGAGTTACTAGATAAAGGGCACTGTAAGCACTGAACTCTGCCACCAGCTGCAAGGTTTACAGGGAAAACTAATTTACAGGCCCATCTGACAGGTTTGTGGTTTGGGGGGTTTTTAAACCAAGAAAGAACAAAGTGAAAGAGGACAGAAATAATTTTAAATTATCTTTGAAGTAAAGGCGTTTCATGCATTTTAACCCTGCATGATTCTAAAGTTGTCACATTGGATTAAGTACAACCAAGGTTTCCTTTAGGCAGAATTAACATCTTAATGAGCCTATTGATCATCTTCAGTGACGACATTTTCAACATGTCACGAGTCAGAGATTTTTTTTATGCAATTACCTTTCATTTTCTTAGGTTTTCTGCAACAATAAGCAGAAAATAGCTTGGATCACTGCCTTCCTATTGCAATGTGTAAAAATAAAAAACCAAAACGATACCCCTCCACCGCAGGAAAGGCAGCTCCTGGCCACAGAGGTGACTACCCTTCTGGTGAGAAGGGGGTTGTTTCGAACTACAAAGCGCACCTACCCCAGATACAACAATGTGAACATTAGTGTATAAAGATAAATTTATACACTAACTCAGATTCATCAAAGGCTGTCTAAACTTAGTTAATGCACAAAGCAAACTCACTCACTTTACAAAAATCACCAAAACCTCAAAAGAGAAAACACTCACCAGCCAGCCCTTCATCTCCAAATAATCCTTCTTGGCCTGCTACAAGCAGCCCGCCTCGATGCTGTGGTTTCCCCAGTATCCCAAGGAAGCCCACAGCTCCTCTTCAAACAAATGAAATTAAAACCCCTCGAGGCCTAGTGAGGCTTGGCTGGATACCTTCAGGCCACGGCCTGACTGAGGCCTCCGCCTGGGCCCAGCAGCCTCGCAGGCCCACGTCCTCACAGTCCTTCCCCGGGGAACAAAGCAATACAAAAATAAGTATAATGGAAACAAGATAAATAATTCTAATCTTTTAATTCAGTTTTTGCCACTGTTTCTGTTCAGAATCTAATAAATTCTTTCTCTTGAACCAACAATCCACAACAACTGGGATATAAAGAAAAAGGAGATAAGATAAAGAAAAAGGAAAAAAGAAATACAAAACTCATCCATCTTTTAGGATCCCCACAGTCATCGCAGTTATCCCACAGTTCACTTATTTGCCTTTCAAGCAGAAATGTGTTTGATAACATAAAATTGATTTGCTCCCATTCTATTAGTGAAGGACCATGGTAGCTTTAAGCAGTTCAAGAATCTAAACCAGAGGGTTGGTTCCCATGCACTCTGGCTCCAGAGCTCTCACGGAGGATGACAGCTACATTCAGTTTATTCTTACGACTGGTATTTTACCAAGGCCTGAAGTGTAGCCAAACACATTTTGCTCCTTTTCATGCAAGTCAGTTGCACCCTGAATGCAAACATTAGACGAGAGACACAGGGAAAGAAATTATCCAGATGTTAGCAAGATAAGCACAAAATCCTAAACAATTTACTAACAGATTGCAGCAGCTTTGACAAATACAAAATACAGTTATGTGTTATATCACCACAGGAAACCCCCAAACCCCATACCGAAACAACCCCCGCCATGCACACTTCTGCTACAATTATTCTACAGCTATGCCAGTTTAAATGTCTCCCTTAATACTTCTATTAGAATGATACTATAGCAAATCAAACATAGCAAAGCATCAGGGTATCAGGGTCCTTATATGAGAAAAAGAAGATGACAAAAAACCATACCTTTATATTTCTGACTTTTGCCACTTTGTCATCAACTTCTACAATCACTTTTCCTCCTTCTGCACTCTCTCTGGAAACAGAACACATTCAAAAATTGATTTAAAATATGAAAACACAGAAAGATATATGTCAAAATCGAAAACCCCAGAAAGCTGTTTACTTTAAGAAACTGCAGGTCAGAAAGAGCTTTAAAACAGATACTCATAAGACACTCTATAAGAGAAAGTAGCATTTGCAGATGCGCAGCCATGTATCTCAATAGCAAAAGAACAAAACAGGACTGCGATCATTAAAGAGGTTCGAAGTGCTTGTCCTAACTACTTTGTTAGGATTTTATTTCAATTTAAGAGTTGTTTTAAATTACATGTACATGGAAGCAGTGAAGCACGGGTAGACTGGCTGTGCTTTGTTGAGTTCAGATCCATGTCACAGACGTGTGAGCCACAAGTGTTGTCAAATTGTACTGTCTGATTTTTTACCATATAATCCAAAGTGTTTGTTATAGTCCTCAGAAAAGTACTCTTTAGCAAAACAAAACTGTCCTCAAACGTAAATGGACAGGATTGTTCCACAAGTGCAAAGAACCACACAGTCATATATACTCTCTGTATAAAACTCCTATTGAACACAGCTATGACTGGTTACTACAGCCATCTTCCACTTCCGAAGATGAGTCGTATTAGAAAAGAATGAAAAAAGCATGTGGCCAAAGCAAAAAAAGCAAAAAACCAACCAACACCTTATTTCTGGGCTGACAACATGATTGCTACTTGAAGTTAAGGATGCTCTTATTTATAGGTGTGTTGATTCACATTCCTCTCACTAATTATCATGGATTTTTTTTTATGCACAGCAAGATAGAAATGAGGAGGATGAGGTCAGCAGCCTAACTATCCGACAGCAGAAAATAACCAAACACTTTGGTACTGATTGGCTAAGAACAGGAGAAAGATGTTTGATCCTTTACATTTCTTCCATATTTTGCTTTGCACTCTGATACTGACAAATCTTGTAAGCTGCAACTTTATCACCATTTTTATGAAGCCTAATGCCTTTATAAGCTGGAAGAAATTGGTTAAAAATAGAATGAATTTTGTTCTTAGTGCATTTTTGTCACACTTTAAGTCAAGCTGAAGGCACATACATTGTCATTTGAGATTAGCTGTATATATATCCCCGATAATCAGCTGGATCGGTATCATCAGGTCAGATAAATACTATATACGATAAAACAAGAGTTAGTAAATTTAAACGCAGCTGACCACTGTTCATTCATAGCCCCAGATCTGTCTTTTAACAGATTTCCTTACAGGTATACAGAAGTATTTACTCCCCCACCCATTACAATCTCCTTTCACTGACAGCCCTAGCTTCCAGGCAGCATGTAGCACAATGTGGCCTGCCTTAGGGGCCCCCTCCTCTCTGGTTCTGTTTTTACACCGCGCTTTCTGTACCAAAACAACACTCAAAACAATGCCTTAGGACACTTAAGACTTCCACAGAGACAACCACTGTAGCATTTGAGCTTTACAAGCATAAAGAAGTCTTAAACAGATTACTGAGCACAGGGTGTTCCCTGTTTTACAGACAGAAAATAATGCTTTACCTTAAAGTGTGTCACTTTACTAATTTTGAGAGCTTGCCTTGAGACAGACTAGACTTAGTACGTTCTGTAACGCGTACTTATACACTGCACTTCACATAGAAAATACAAGCATGGCTCCCAGAGGTTTTAGTTAAGATGTGAGTTCAATACATCAGCCACCATAGCCCTGAGTTAGACCCCAGAAGAAAGAGGAATACTCATAACAGAATTTGGATTATGTGCAGCTGGGTACCAAATGTTGCATTACACGCAGCTGAGTACTGAACAGAAGCCCCATAAGTCTCCCTAAAGAACAAATGAAGGACAAGTGCCTAAGGATAGAGGCTGTGAATATCTAATGAAGAAATTTGCAACTGATGCATTTAACCTGTACATGTGCATTTTCTTAGAAGTTTTGAAAAGCAAGTGCTTTCCAAGACAAGTAAGTCTGGGGACTTAAATACCCACATACAAACCTCTGCTAGGTGAGCTAATGGACAAAGCTGACAGCTATCCTCTACAGCAGACCAGATTCAAGAGGAAATGTGACATTCTGACTGAGAATTTCACAAGAATTTAAGAACAGCAGAAGACAGACAAAATTGGAGGGATCCTTTAGGACAGAGCTTGCTTTGGTTACACATACTCTCTTCTCCATTGCCCCAGTATGGTCTTGGCCCTATCCTGCTTCCTAATCCCATGAGCCATTGCTATTTTTACATCATACTGTTAACCCTCCAGTCTTCTTACCGCAGCTGCAGTTTACTGAGTTCCTATCCTCCTCCCACTATGCACACACATCATTCCCTCACAGGTACCTGCTAGCTGTTCTCTCTGACATCTTGTCCACAGGCCCACGTTCAATTTTAGTGTCTTCAATTGCTCTGCAGGTTTTGGCTCCCTTCTACCGCGCTGTAGCTGGTTTTAGGCTTCTCTCTGCTCCAAAGGCACATGATCCTGCTCTCCTTGTCAGCTCTTCCAGTCTCTATCCCAAGTTTACTTGTACACTCCACAATTGAATTGGAGTTTCTTCCTGGACAACAGCTGTGGTCAGCAGACAGATTATTGTGATTAAATGGGATAGAAGTCTTTGCTCTCAGGTCCTGTACCTGGACTTCAATTGTGATGTGGACAACACTGAGCTCAATTTATCAAGGCAGTGCTCAGCTGATGAGATTTTTGACTCATGGGGATGGTGGAAGCACAATTTGGTCAACACTAGAGACTACAAGCTCAGATGCACTCAGAGAAAGCAGATCCCTTAAAACTTCTACCTACTATGTTCTTACAAATCTTCACTGAGCATGTTAAAGAGTTTTAGTTGTTTAGAACTTGGGCAGAAATGGATCTATTCAGATGGGGGAATTAAAAAAATGCATACCAGATTTTCAATATTAATGCAATTAGAAATTCAAATAAAAGGTCACCCTAAGTTGTTTTTAAATATTTTTAAACCTTATTTTCCCTTAACCTCATCTTCTGTAGCTGCTGAACTCTTCTGGATGAAACTTTAAAATAATTAAAAATATCTAGCCTGAGGCAGACATTCATGCATGGAAGATTTCTACTCAAATGGTTGAATTCTGGCAAAGCTTTTAACAATTTTAAATGTTAGGGTATTCTAATTGCAGACGTAAGGCAACATCAGCAACAAGCAGTGCTTCGAACCCCACCTATAATAATAATTACATGAAACTTACTGCTTTTAGTCCACGTGCACTACACACAACCCTATGAACGAATGACTTCATACTGTGGGTTCTCGTCACCTGATGTTATCCCTGGCCACAGTCATTACTAAAGATTTGAGATACAGAAGAAATTCCCCGCGCAAGACCTTTGAAGTATGAAAATTTGAGACATAAAAATTTATATACTCATATTCATATAATTATATCAAAATAAATATAAAAACAGTAAAATACAAACACAAAATAAAATTACCACACCACCATTTGCTCCAAAGTAGCATGATTCCTCACTATGCAGACAAAAAGCTCTATGCAGGAGTCGCGTAGCTTTGTTCAAGTCTCACATGAGAAGAAAGTCACCAGCAAACAGGGATAGAACTAAAGTCTCCCCTTGCTCTGGGTGCAGGTTCACAGCGTACTTTATTTATCTTAACTGTACGCTGTTGCTGCAAAGGGCAATTTCTCTTCTCTGCTCCAACACCCCATATGTGTTCCCATTTGTTTCTTGCGTCTGACCTAGCAGTAACACACCCATGCAATGACTCAGATCAGCTGTGATCAGAAAACAAACACACTAAGATAAATAACCATGATGCCACAGGGCCAGCGAGCCCTTCCAGAGCACCAAGCACAGCGGTCACACAGTTGCTAAGCCAAAGTAAGAGAAAGGGCAGGAACACACAGTGGTGGGAGTAGAGACCCCTCCCTTCCACAGCAGCTTACAGCCAGAGAGCACTGAGCATGAACAAAATTGGACCTGCAGCCATCCTCAGCTCTACAAAGCACACATTCAACCTCCCTGTAAACATGTTTATATCATGCTTCTTTTAGGTACAAACCAGAAAACTTTGGGAAAGAAAGCAGAGTTTCATATATAAAGCCCAGAAGGCAAAGCAGACTCACAGCTGTTCTGCATGCTCTGACCTTAACTCCAGATTGCAAACACTACAAAAGCCCTCTCAGCAAAAACTGTGTTTGTCAGTACAGTCTTTTACATGTGTGCACCACAGTTCACATTTGACTGATAAAACCATCCATCTTCCTTGAAATGGGTGCTCTGCTCCACAGGTACGAAAGCTCTATTCCTTGTACCAGTAAAACAAATCCCGAAGTACACAAAACATTTGACCTACGCTGCTCAGAAGTCACAATGATCTTAACATTTAGTTTCCCCATCCTCCATTCTTCCCCACTTCTTAAAAAATTCATGCTATGTTTGGGAATTGCCTCTCTTCTCAACTACCTTGTACAGACAATTTGTTTTCATGCAAAGATAGAGCTGTAAAAAGACCATTTAATGGTACATGTCGCAGGAAAGATCTGGATCTTCTCAGACACAGAAAGTTTTAGAGAGATTAAGACCCAGCAACAGAACAGTGACACAAATATAGAATGCGGCAGTAGTGCTGCAATAAGGAGCTACAAGGAACACCAGACAGAAGTAAAGTTGCTGTGACAGTCCAGAAAACAAGGGCAGCCCAAAGGGAAGTCCCCTCATAACACGTGCTGTTCCTACAACAAATCGTTTCTGCAGCCAACTCGTAAAGCTAATGCAATCTCAGAGGGACAACAGACACTCTGCAACACCTGAAGAACAAGCCAGTGGAAAAGAATCATGCATGGATCAAGACACCATGTCATATAGCAAAACAGATACAGACTACCAAATGCTCACCAAAGTAATCAAACATACAAAAGCAAATATATACCTCAAGTAGATGAGAAATCTTAAATCATTTTTGAAAGGAGTATGTGTCTACTCATACAAACTTTGAAAATAACCCTGCAGTGTAATTATTGCCAGTACTCATGCTTTCCTACCAATTCCCATCACCCAGGTTAACTCCAAAGCCAATCTCAACCTGTGCTGAGACAGAGGACCTCAAAAGCAGTACGGCAACAGTATCAATCCCTCCCCTCTTGCAGAGATTTTTGCTGATCTGGGCAATTGGGATAGTTCTGTTTTTTGGAACAATTCACTTTAATCCTTTTTCCAGACTTTTCTAGAAAGAAGTAGCCTTCTGTGGCCTACTGTGATGGACATCTTCACACTCTGCTTACAAACGCAACCAAAAGCACATCTATAGCAAGCTCAGCAGGATGCATGCCAGCAGTCACTGCTGCTGTCCTCCAGGACTCTGCCACTTCCCAGGATGTGACCAATAGCCATGACAGCCTATAAGTAAGGTACAACACTTACCAACCTAACCTTCACTTGTACCTGGGACACTTCGTGCTATCTAATAGCACCCCTATGCAGTCACCATGCCAGCAGCTGCAGTATAATGCTGAGGCAAATCTAACCCAAGCTTTTTCTTTGTCATAAAGGCTAAAGTTTTTATGGGAAAAGTTCAGGGAGCATTCAGATTTATCTCTTCCTTCTCATTAACAGTATATCGTAAAGTGTGTCTGCCTTTTGTTTATTGGTGGCCTTGGCAGAGGTATCTTTGAGAAGCTGTCATCTTTGCACCTTCTGAGCGACTGACCTTGGTCACAGAAACAAACAAACAATGCAGGGTGTATTTTCGAAGTTATGCTAGTCTTCAGAGAATACTGCCCCAGACAAAACAGGTTGAGAACACATCCGTCTGGAGACCAAGAGTGCAATGAGAAGAGCACTAAGACTCCATGCTGGTCCATCAAAAATTGTGAAGAAGAATGTCAAAGCCTTCAGCCATTAGAGCTTCTGCGCTCTACTGACAAGTTAATGTACCTACAACCACAATTTTCCCAAACACAGCATCCCTCCACAACACCAGCATAATCTGTATCCTTATCCTTATTGCTGTAAGCTGTAAAAACCAAGAGCTTATAACAGTATAAACATCTTCACTTCGGCTAATAGATTTTAAAAAGAAAAACAAAAACAAAAAATCAATAACCAATAAATTTACCTAAAGTTTGTTTTCAGTGTTATTCATTATTTAGTACTACCCAATACTATTTTGGATATTTCTCTTTAAGTCATAATTGTTTTACTGTGCCTTGCAAAATAGTAGTGCACACTCAGTCAGCAATCCTCCTACCAAATTCAGAACAGATGTTTATAAATAATTTAAAAATCTATACTGAAGCCAAGTACACAGAGTTCACCAAGTCAGCACGTCGCTATAGTAGACATGCTGCTCAAGTTATCTTTCAAGGCTACTCCTAGCTGCATAGGGCTTTCATTGGCTTCGACAACAGCTAACACAATCTGATAGTCAAAAATGACCATTCCTAGTGATCACCATCATCCTCATGTGGTTTCCCCCTATTCTTCTTTGCAAATAATGGCATCACAAATATGGCAAATATTACATGGCAGAGATAAACATGAGGCATTGTCAGTGCTCTTTTCAGACACAGGCCTGCTCAGTTAAAGTCATCTTAATCTTACCAGACTTGTGATATACGTATTCATAACTAGGAGAGGAAGCACAGGACGGCCTCCTCCGGTCCCAGTGAGCTCTGTCATCCTGCCCATGCTGTGGCACAATACAAGAAGAATGTTCCTGTCTGCACCATCTCCAAAGTCTTGTACTGCTAGAACAAGAGGGTCAGACAACTTCCCTTGAGCAATTCAAGTCACAAACACTCCTGCTGACCCATCAGTGCTTTGAACAGCTGTGAAATAATGATGCTTTCTCTTTCATACAGAAACATTAAGGGGAGGAGGGAAGAGGAGAGGAAAAAGTCTTTTCATCTGCCATATCACCAGCATTTAAGGAAGCATGAAACAAGGAGGACTTAAAGCTACAGTCCAGTTGGTCCAGTTTCACTCACCCTTGATTTCCCAACTGTTCACTGTGTCATGAGATAGTATAATTCACAGACTTTTGCCTCAAAGAAATTCTGTGCAAAAGCTGCGATTTCCACGCAAACCAGAATTTGGATGCAGTAGTCAGTTTTCATTCCACCAGGACAGAACTATAATCTGTGATCACAGTTAAATAAATGACTGAGACACTGAATGCTGCCATGCGTTCTCTCATCTCTTGCTTAGGCACCTCTTTCATTGTATCACAAGCAGCTACTACAATAAACCCTTAAATTCTAAACAGAGAGGTGCAAAACTCCATTATCTTGTTTAAAATCTATGCTACACATAGGACGATGAGAGGAAAATTTTAGAATTGCACTGCTTTTTAAAGTTTACATAAAGCATTGG